ATCCACCCAGCCTTTCGGGACTGAAAATAGATCTCAAAGAACTTACCAAGCTAATCAGATAGTATTTCCTTAACAGTAGATGAATTTTCAATTTCCCTTTGTGTTCCCTGGCAAATATGACTGCTTCAATGTTATTTGTTGTCTTTTCACAGTTGTTCTCTATTTTTGGTATGCCAGCTTATATCCTTCAGACAGGGGGGCCCTCGTTTCATGAGTAACGAAAACCCCGCATTTTTTGTAGCGAAAGGGATTGCCTGCAGCAGAACAACTAGAACCTAAGGCAATGGTCAAGTGGGGGGTTAATGGTCTAATGGAAGGCAGTTACAAAAGAATTGAAATGCGCATCTACCTGTTCAACATGGCAACTGTCCACCTGATGCTTTCCCCCTATTAGACATTGCTGTGCAGAGCTACTAATGCAACCCTCATGAAAAAAATCCTCAACTATTCAGTGTTCCCCTACAGGGGGCCCCGTGCCCACTTGGTTTTCATCCGGACCCATTCCCTGAAGAGTCACCTTTGGATGAAAAAAACGGTCCTTTTGTGGAAGAGGTAGAGCTCCTGAAGCAATCCACATTACGCCCACATTCGCTTCCAAATGGTGAAGAAAATCGAATCTACAAGACATTTTTGCCCCCCGTTTTAAAAAAACCCCTTAGTGTGGGAAACTCAAGAAATACACCAAAAGATGCGAAAGATGATTCTTTTTTTCCCGGGAAAATCCCTTGAGACTACCCCTGGGAAATAGAATTCTGCTCCAGCATTTTTGTCAAAAAACCCCCTGGAAAAAAAAAGAACCCGGTGAAAAGGCTCAAAGGGCCGGGGGAGGGGCGGTACGTCGCCCACTAACAGTTTGGGAGATTACTGTTTCGATATTTTAGAAGGGGGAGATTGTAGTGTAAGCTCCCGTGGGAGCGCAGCAGGATAAAACTGCACCACCTTCGGGGCCCTTAACAACAAAAACAGCTTGGTTTGTGGGCATGGGCGCCAAACATGGTGTGTTTCTTTCTCTTATTCCATTAAGTGATGCAGTTTAAAATGGTGAGTTTAAATATGTGGCCCGTAGTTATAACTTTTCTCTTGAATAGCAAGACACACCTCCCTGTATAAGCAGTTTTAGTGTACTAGTCATTATATTTTTTTTGTTGAGAAGTATACGAAGATTCTACTTTTAATAAAAGCCGAGAAAGGCCTGTGTTTCTATCACAAACACCCCACAAAAAAATCTTTTTAATGCCAGAAATACCCGTAAATCCACGCCACAACGTGCCACCAATTTGTCCCCTGGGTTCCGAAACGTGGGAATTGGGTAAGGTTCTCAGTAGGGAAAAAACGAAGTATATTAAAAGGAATGTATGGGGGAAACGCCGAGGCCCGACTTGCATCCTCTCCCATCCCTTTAACTGTCCCCAGTGATTCCCAGAGGGTGAGCACGTTCAAAAAAAGTAGGGTCAGCTGTAACAGTGAAAAAAAAATGACACGGTAACTGGTACTATGAGTGCATCTACATGGTAACTGGTAAAGGCAATGGTACTACGAGACAGATGGTTCCTTTAATACAAGATTTGGGGGTCCACCCTCGTCTCTGCGATCACTTTTTGCAGCGGTCCCAAACTGATGGGGCCAGCGGCACCCCCTTCCCACCTACCCCCCGATGGGAAACTCAAGAAGGCCGACTGGCAGGTTTTCCAGGGGGTCATCGAGCCTGGTGGGGAAGTCACTTACCGGGAAAGGCCGATGGGGCAGCTCAAAACCTGCAGGCGGCCCCCACATGGGCAGTTTGGGCAGCCGTACCCAGGAAACAGGAGAGGGGGATACAAAACGTGACCGTGGTTTACAACGGGACATCAGGGGCAGAACCCCGGATAAAGTCGTATGCAAGATGCAAAGGCGTAATCCCATGGCGAGTCCCCTGCGTTGTCCGGGAAAATGGGCCCCCGCCACCATGTCTCACGCAGGGTCTGGCAAGCTAAGTGGTTTTTAAGTGTGTGCCTCCTCGTATTCTACCAAATTTTCGAGATTTGAACCAAAGTTAAAAATGGCCACTGGGCAGTGTCCGGTGTGGTCACGCACCCGCCCCACAATGGGGAAAGGAGAGTGTTTTGGGGACCTTTTTTACCCCGGGTGGGTATGGCCAAATGCCCAGGATTCCAGGGCCTACAGCCACCCCCCTTCCAGAAGGAGGTGGCGATCCAAGGCTGCCAGGCAAATGACGACACAGACGAAGTTTCACGACGGGGGGCCCAGGCAGCCTTCCCCATCTAATTGGGGGAAATGGCCAGGGGAGATGGATACCCATGGGAAAGATCTCGGTCGGGCCCTTCTGGCCATGCACTGTCCTGGGGGTCATCAAATGGCTTTGAGAGCCGGGAGACTCCCTGCCAATGGAGGGGGCAACAAAACCCGATTCCTAAGCCCGGGGTCCTGCAGTTGGCCCCCTTTCCCCCTCACCGTTCTCTCGAAGGGTCGGAAGGAGGGTTGGAGAGACAAAGGGTGGGAGCTTGGCCCTCCTAAAAAAAACACCTCTATGATTCACCAGGGGGAAAGTGGGCACTAGGAGCCTTCCCACCCTACTGGGCAGCATTGGGTCAATCCCCAAGCTCACTGTGTTGTCTTCCTCGACCCCCGAGAAAGCTTTTGAGCAGCCAGTGCACCGCCATCCTTGCACCCTTTGGGCCCCCCAAGGGGGGTTTAAAGGGCGGTTTTTTGTGGGGTTTGATCCTATCCCGGGGCGGGTGGGCCAGGGTTTTTTAAGACCCCGGAAAACGGGATCCGCAGAGTGGGGTGCTTAGTCCCCCCCCTTTTTTCAATGACTTACGCACCGCTCATGCGCCCCCCCTTTCTCCCCGGCACCCCTTCCCGCTCAGCTAGCCTTTACCCCGGCCCGTGTCGTATCCAGGAAGCATCGGCTTTGCGCGTGCCAGAGGGCCTCGATCAGCTGGCTTTCCCCTTCCGTCACCCGGGGGCTTTAAGATATCTGCCCCCGAAATCCAAAAAAAAAATGATCCTTCCCACCCCGGGAATCCAGTCAAGGTGCAGATCCTGGGGATCGACCTGGAGGGTTACAGTAAGGGACTTGACACTTCATCGGCAGGCGCCTCACCTTCCCGAAACATGTACCCAATCAAGAGAGGGCTTGCAGAGGGTAGGGGAATGAGTGCCCTGACCCCCCCCTTGGATCGGGGGCCACCTCGATGTCTGAGGTTGTTTTACATAAGGCTGCACTGCTCATCGACTATGGCACTTGCTCTGATTCACGCCAGGCCCCCTGAACACAAAGTCTTTTTGTGCGGTCCCGAAAACAGTTGTACAGGCCATGCTTGGGGCGCCTAGGTGGGTCAATGTGGTGGCTTTGAACTTCGAGACACAGCTGCAGCCCCTTGAGGACAGGATCCACTTTGCAGCTGCTAAGTTTGTCAGCAGGGGCTAACAAACTGACGAGGGATACAAGGGTCCATGAGGGACATGTCATACCAATGCACCCCGGCCGCCGATGGATGTGGTCATTTGCAGATGCCACAAGGAAGCTCCTGCCCATGACATTGCTCCAGACAGGAGGCTGCGATAGACCGGCAGCAAACTGCATGGTGCTGCCCCCTTGGGTGCCAGAACTGTTGGCGGTGCACTGGACAACCCTACCAGGCAGCAAGAGGCATTGCCCCCAGCACATTCTGCAACGACTTGCTTCAGCTAGCATTGCGGTTGAGGAAAGCCCCGTGTGTGTGCTGTATTGCAACGATGGCTCCAGATACCCAGAGGCAGGCCGCACAGCTGCTAGGATGTTCCACAGCAATTTGACGGTAGGCTGACGCCTCTCGGACCATTGCACCATACTCCAGGCTGAACTCTATGCCATCCACCAAGCTCTGCAGCAAGCAATTGCAGACCATCGGCATCCCCCCGTCATCCATGTTGATTCCAAGTCATTTAACCAAGCAATTATGCACACAGAGCCAAGGGACAACATACACTTAATCACCTGTAGACGCTCATGGCCCAGGGTCGCAGAGCCACCAATAACTGGATCCCGAGCCATGTGGGTATCTACGGCAATGATGCAGCAGGTGAGGCTGCTAAGACCGCAACGCTCGAGGCACAGCCACGTGCTGCAATCTCCATCAGCCACAGCCAGATTATGCTATGGGCTGCCAGTGCGTCCAGGTGCCCACTCCCTGACCCTTGGGATTCACGGAGTTGCCGCTGGTATGACAGGGCGACTCACAAGGCGCCCCCTACAAGTATTCGAACGCAGACCAGAGAACTGCGGGGTGAATATCCACCGCCTACACTTAGGGTATCCCACCACTGCACGGATAGTTGAACGGGAAAGAGAGGAGCTCTGTGCTCACCGAAACCCCTGGTGCACTACCTATTAGACTGTCCAGCTACGATGCCCCTTCGCCGCAGACACTTTCCAATGGCCCCAGCGGGGCAGGCTCGGGAGGTTGAGACGGCACATCTAGTGTATTTAGCCATCAAAGACGTGAAGACCTGACTCCCACTCATTGCACGTCACCCGCCCACCCAGCGAACGTCGCTGTGAAGGCCAGCTGTGGACCTCCGTTGCACCCCACACCAACCACCATTAAAGCAAATTAGCTTTTGGGACATCATTTGTCCATAGAACTGGAGAGGAACCCCTCTTCTCACCGAAGGACTGCCACGCATGTACGAGAAAACAAGATAAACGACACTTCTCTATCCGGGGAGCCAATGCCAGGTCACCCGGGCCGGGATCTATACCGGCAAATCACCTATATAGAATAAAATAAGACACTTTGACTTTCTTTTGGGTTATCCTAGGTATTCTACACACATGCATTTTTGCATGATAATTTATGTAACTGTATTTATGTGTACCTGTACCTGAATACACTTACTTAATATGGAGTAGTCTCTATCAACACTTCAGTTTACTTAAGTTGCATATCTTCAGAGAACATCAAAGAAAACTATATTTATATGTAGGTAAGTATAAATATCGAATTGCTTTCTCATACCTTTTCCCTTTTCTTGCCGCAGTAGTATAAAATGTATTCTCGTTCCTCTTCAGATATTCTAGGATGAAGTTGTGGATGGTTGAACACCAGCAGGAACCACACGATGCTCCATACAACACCCAGAACGCCAAAAATGTAGAACACAGACGGCCATCCTCCCATGAAGTCGGAGTCACACAACCAACCGGTGGCCGCCATAGTCACCACTGTCCCGAACTGCACTCCTGATCAATGTGAAAAATAACATTTAATGTTCCTATTAAAATGTGATAATATTATTATTATAATCAAAAAGAAGCGCTAAGCCACAAGGGCTATACAGCGCTGCAGGGTAGGGAAGGAAGCGAGGGTATTGGAAGGCAGAAGGGAGGAGGGATGATCAGTAAGTTACAGAAAACAGCGGGGCAGGGGATAGTACGGGGGTAGGGGGTAGCAAGAGATTGAAGTAGAAAGGGCTGAAGGTATCAGAATTTGTGAAGTCAGTTGTCAAAAAGTCAATGAGAGAGTCTGGATGAAAGGTGGGTCCATCAGCGAGAAGGGAAGGTAAAGAGAGAAAAACAGAGCGAAGACGACGACGGAGGTAAATTCTGCGTGCTGGTTGATAAAGTGGGCCCGTCCAAAAATGTGGCTGACTGATAATGGAACTTGGGAATTCTCACAGAGGGAGCAGGCGCCTCTCCATGAGATATCCATGAGTAAGACGAGTATGGCCAATGCGAAGATGGGAGAGAGTAGTCTCCCAACCCCGACACTGGTGATAAGAAGACGGCCAGTAACCTATACTCGGTTTAATAGATTGAAGTTTTTTTGCCGAGCATAGTAGACCAACGTTGTTGCCCAAAGGGTGTGAAGTTGGGAAGTATTGCAGCAAAATAGTCCGTAAATGGAATACCTCTACATGAAACTGGTAGGTCATGTAACTGCTGACCGCGCAGCAGTGTCTGCCTGTTCATTGCCCTGTACGTCAACATGACCAGGGACCCCAAAAAAAAACAATATCTTTATGCTTGGTAAAGATGCGGCGTAGCCAAAGTTGGATTTCGGAGGACTAAGGGCTGAGGTGTATCAAATTTCTGTATAGCCCGTAAAGCACTAAGGGAAATCTGAGACCCAAACCCCAAATGATGACACAGGCATAGATGCAATACGGGTAAGTGCTTTTAAGGATGGCATACAATTCAGCAGTAAAAATTTCTAGCGAAAAATAGTAAATGCCCTTGTACGACGCTGTCCGGAAACACTGCTGCGAATCCTACGCCGTCAGAAAGACTTAGAGCCATACTGTGTACACAGCAATGGCATGAGGAATGAGAGTGAAAGTGGTCAAAAAATGAGAGCGGAAGCGACCATAGGGACAGTGGGGCTTTCGAGCAAGGGATGAGAGAAAGAACAGGACTCGATACAGCTGGAACTTCTGGGGGGGAAGGGTAAAGTGAAGGATGCTACATGTAATAGAAAGTTGGTAATGAAGGAGAAGACAAGAGCGAATGAGTTGAAGAGAGAAGGGACGGAGGTAAACAGGGGCGGCGAACCAAATAAAGAATGTCTACTAATATCAGTGACATTCTATAAATGAGGATTGCAGAGATTCATTGTGAGTGTACATAGTAGCGAAGGCCAATGGGCATCCCGGCGTTGGATGAGGATGGAACGTTCATTCTGCATAGGTAGGTCTCGACAGGGAAGAGCGAACATGCACCAAGGCATAAACGTATCCTTGGTGTTGAATGGGGTTAAGGCTAAGAGAGTAGCAGGAGATGCCGTTGAAAAGATCTGGTCACCATAAACAAGTTTCGATAAGGATAAGGGGGGTATGTAGGCGAAGGAGGGTTCGACGATCAGCTTCCCATGAAAATGAGAAGGGTTTTAGGGAGTTCAGCGGGCCGTGGCATGTTGCCTTCAGAGAGGAAAATGTGAGGGCTGTTCCAGGATAACAACGATCAAAGAGGAGGCCAGAACTTTGATGTATCACGTTAGGGACGGGAGCCATAGAGATACAAAGGATGAGCGGATGATGACAGAGCCGTCTAGTGAAGTAATTTGGTGGTTTTTAGTGCTGAGAAATTTAAAACCACGTGTGGTGGAAAAAAAAAAAAAAACACCCCCCCCCCCCCCCCCCCCCCCCACCCCCCCCCCCCCCCCCCCCACCCCCCCCCCCCCCCCCCCCCCCCCGCAGAAACACGGTCGACTGCATGATGGAGAGAAACTGTAATAAGGTGACAGTCAGCGCCTGCACAGGCAATAGCGAAGTCAATCAACACAGAGTGGGGACCAAATGTTTGATGGATAAGAATAGAGACCAAATCATTGATAGCAAGGAGACAAAGTGTTGTGGCTCAGAACAAATCCTGCGGGGACACCTTCAGCTTGGATAAAGTCCAGGGAGAGCACATTATTAACCGAACACGGAAAATGCCTGTCAGTTAAAAAGTTTCCTTAAGGAAAGGATGGTAGATTGCCTCGGAAGGGCCTAAGGAGTGGGCTTGGCTAAAATATTTATACCTCCAAGTTCGTGTTCATATGCCTTCTTCAAGGTACCCAGAAAAAATTTTGGCAATTAACTCAGGGGTTTTCGCAAAGGCATACGAATTACGTATCCAAGCGTAATAGTAAGGGTCATTGGGAGAACGTCCCTTACGAAAGCATATTGGACGAGTGGAGGGACTGTTGTGTGTCTCTAAATACCACACTAAAACGTCTATTTACTAGGCGTCCTTCTCTTTGCAAACTGCCACTGGTTAAGAGCAATGGGACGATTGGGTGGTTTCATGTCCCGTAGTGCCGCGGTTTTTGCTTGGAGGCGAAGTTCAGCGGTCGGCTCGACATCGCGCACGACGGCGGAAAGGTGGAACAATGGCGGATTTCAACAGATGTGGAAGAACTCCTTGTGACCAAATAAGATTGTAAAGGCGTAATAGGACTGCAAGGGCTGACTGATGTAAATGTTGTAGCATACAAAATATAAATTTCGTCGGGCCCAGCTGCCGATGATCGGCAAGCTGAGAGTGTTGCCCCCAGTTCTTGAAGGGGTAAAAGCACATTTTTACTGTTCTTCTCTGAAGAAGAAAAGTCCAAGGGTGCTAACTCTCTGGCAGATTTTGAGGAAAGAAATGAGGGGCAAGAGGGAGTCCCTGAGAAAAAAACTAGATATTGCCAATTTCTTTGGCAATATCTAGGGGGGTTTGCTATATCAACACCGGCAACCCGCAGAACAGGAGCCGGGTCAGGAGAATATTTACCACTCAGTTTTCGTACTTTTTTCCAGACTGCACTCATAGAGGAAGCAGAGGTGATGGTGGAGACATAATCTCGCCAGCAAGTGCGTTTAGCATCACGGATGACACGGCGAGTGATCGCACGCTTGAGCTTAAATTCAAGAAGTCTCTCTGTGGTTCTATTGTACCGGTACCTGCCCCATGCAGCGCGTTTCTGAGAATGCCTGCCCGAAGTTTGGGGTATAGAATGAGAAGCTGCTGTTAAGACAGAGGACGAGAAGAGGTGTAAAAGCTCATCGATGGAGGACGAAGAAGGAACCTCTCTAAAAACAGTTAGGTGTGAGTAAAGGTTCCAATTTGCCTGATCAAATTGCCAGCATGGGATGCGAAGAGGTGGTGAATATGAAGGTGAAGTAAGAATGATTGGGAAATGATCGCTGTCATGTAAGTCCGGAAGAACAGACGAAGTGAAGTCTAATGCGGCGGAGGAAGAGCAGACTGAGAGATCGATGCAAGAGAGAGAGTGTGAGTCCGAGGATCAAAATCGGTGTGAGTACCTGTATTTAAAACATGGAGGGGGTGGGTGGCAAGAAAAGTCTCTAACTGAATGCCACGGGAATCACAGTGAGACCCCCTCAGAGGAAATGGTGGGCATTAAAATCACCAAGTAACAGAATCGGTGGTGGTAATGACGAAACAAGATAGTAGCGATAACTCAGTAACAGTCCCAGATTTTCGCTTAGCAGATTACGATGGGCTTAGAGAACACTTATCATCTGTTGACTGGGGTAACGAAGAGAGCTATCAATATGACAGTTTTCTGAACACCATACATGCTGCTCAAAGAGCGTTTATCCCATATAAAGAAATTAGATCAAATAGAAATGACCCAAAATGGATGAACAATAGGCTCAAATATCTCTAGGGCATAAGAAAGGAATTTATAGGCGTATCAAAAGAGGTGAGGGTCATATTATGAATCAGTATATTGACATTAAGAGGGACATTAAAAAGGGGATAAGAAAAGCTAAAAGGGACTATGAAATTAAAGTTGCTAGGGATTCTAAAACTAACCCAAAAGTTTTTTCCAGGTCTACAGAACAAAAGTTAGAGATAAGATAGGTCCCCTTAAAAATAACTATGGGCACCTTACTGACAAAGAGAATGAAATGTGCTTGATTTTAAATAATTATTTTCTCTCAGTTTTTACACAGGAAGACACTAACAATATTCCAGTAATTAATTTTTACAGTGGGCTAGAAGAAGATAAATTATGTAACATCACAGTCACTAGTGAGATGGTTGTGAAGCAGATAGACAGACTGAAGCAAAATAAGTCGCCGGGTCCTGATCAGGTTTTTTCAAGGGTTCTTAAGGAATGCAAAATGGAACTCTGTGAACCATTAACTAATATTTTTAATTTATCTCTTCAAAACAGGTGTAGTGTCTGATATGTGGAAGATGGCTAATGTAACTCCTATTTTTAAAACAGGGGACAAGTCGTTACCGTCAAATTACCGCCCAATAAGCCTGACCTCAATTGTAGGCAAATTACTAGAGTCAATTATAGCTGAGATTATAAGAAGCCATCTCGATAAGCATAGCTTGATTAATTATACTCAGCATGGATTCACAAGAGGCCGGTCTTGTCTAACTAATTTATTAACTTTCTTCAGTAAAGCTTTTGAGGCTGTTGACCACAATAAAGAATTTGATATTATTTACTTAGATTTTAGTAAGGCTTTTGATAGAGTTCCGCACCATAGACTGTTAAACAAAGTGGCAGCTCATGGCATTGGGGGAAAAGTGCTCTCGTGGATCGAGTCATGGTTCACTGACAGGAAGCAGAGAGTGTCCATAAATGGGGTTAAATCCGAGTGGGGATCTGTAACAAGTGGCGTTCCACAGGGATCAGTCTTGGGCCCGTTGTTGTTTATAATATATATCAATGATCTTGATGAGGGAATTACTAGTGATATGAGCAAATTCGCCGATGACACAAAGATAGG